CTTCAATATAATATCCTTCATTTTCCTTTACAAAACGTAACATTTTAATAATTGACAGTACATTCATGAAGCCATTACTTTAATAGCAAAACGTCCTTAAAATGATACCATCTATTTCACATTAATATCAAAATGAAGATGGCTTCATTTGTCACAGATGAATGATCGAAGTTTACAAAATAAAATTCAATCACACGTTATATTCAGTAAAGTAAAAGAGACTGTTTTGACAAGTTTGGTGATAACCTACTTTTATTGTCATTGGGTTTGAAGAAATTCGGTTCTGAACTGCAGTGTGGATATCTGTGCTGTTGCATTTGTGGATGAGTTCACAAGTATGATATCAACTTTAATTGATTTTGTGATAGTATCAGTTATTTTATGCAACAATAATTTCCGATAAATGTTCCGATATTTTTAAAGTTTAGAAATCTATCATTCATTTTAGCACTGTCTGTTTGATTTATGTGCTTTTTGTTACACAGTTCATTTTCGAAATTAATAAATTTCTCAATTCAATTTCGTTTATTGAATAAAATTATGTTCTTGAAGAATGTTCAGTAACAAACAAAAGTATTCAAGTTTTTAAAGTATATATTAGAACATATTGACCAAATCACCGGGATTTGTTGGTAGAAGCAAAAAACCAATAGATTTTTTGTTGCATATTTTCTTCCTTTCATATATTATGTGCAACTTGCAACTGGAAATTTTCTTTAAATTTCTCATTTTGCTTATTAATGTGAACTACAAATTTTACTGATAGCATGACTTTAATTCTAATATTTTATGGAAATGAAAGGTGCTACCGATGTAATGTGCGATAATAGCAGTCAAAAAGATTTAGAGCATGAAGTCATGCCAAATGTTTATTTATTGGAACGTACTGATCAAATCACTGAATTACACACAATATTAATGGACAAGTTAATTTTCATATTTAGCATTTTACATAAAAATAATTCTTTGAGAAGAAGTAATAAAATAAGCCTACTCTTGTTTTCTGTGCTTTCCTCATTCTAAGGCCAATAAAACAATGACTTTTGTATGTTTGAATTTAGGCAAACAAGTCATTCCGAGTTTGTATTCTATGCAGATCGCTTGATTAGACTACTTGTTGAAGAGGCATTAAATCGACTTCCTTATAAGGAAATTGAAGTGCAAACTCCAGCAAATGTAAGGTACAAAGGTATTGCCTTTTGTCGTGGAAATTGTGGTGTATCTATATGTCGGAGTGGGGAAGCAATGGAGCGAGCCTTACGGCAGTGCTGCAGGTCTGATTTCCTCGAAAATTTTCGTACTCAGTATAAATCTTTTTTTTTGATGATTGATAATCTTCTAAAACTGATTTTTTGAAGTAGTAGCAGCATTTTATTAGCATTTAAATTATGTTGAGATTGATCATGAAACGCATTTGCGATGTGTCGGCTACTACTGATAAATTTTATCAAATGAAATAGCTCTTGCGTAAATTCATTTATGAGCTATTTAAATCCTTTTATAAAAGTTATTAATACCTTGTAACTAAGAAGTGTAAAATTTGAGGTTATGAAAGTACTTGGTTCGTGTTTGCTAATTTTGGAATAACAGAAGTGATGGTACCGTAATTTGATTGATATAGCTCCCAGTTATTTAGCACTTTTAGAATGAGTATGTGGAATAATTTAGCTGGTTCAGTCAAACATAATTTCGAAACGATAAGTTTGTGTGGATTTCATCATTTTTTTAAATGTTTGGTTCAGTGTATATTATTTTTTCAGGTCGGTGCGTATTGGTAAAATGGTAATAGGTGATAATGCAAAATTACTTTATGCTCGACTTATGACTGATATCATGAATCGAAGGGTGCTACTTCTTCACCCTTTACTCAGTAAATTTTTATAGATAAGTTTTGACGTCTTACTATTAAATTAGTTTTCACTGACGAAATTTGTGGAAAAAATGCTCTATAGACTTGTAATTATTAGCATAATGCAAATCATTGCATAATTCTAGTACCTAAATAAAATCTCAAAAATAAAAATAAGTTTTGCTCATTCATTTGCAGGTGCAGGCGTTGCTGTCAATAAGGCCATTTCGGTACTAAAGGATAATGGTGTACCTGTAAAAAACATTCTATTGCTTTGTTTGTTCGCAACGCCTTCTGGTGAGTACTATTTCATTAAACCTGCAATCTTATATTATTGTAAACTACAGCAAAGTATTCTTCCTTTAAGATAGCACTGATAGATTTAGGTATCAAACAAGTGATGAGTCAGCATTCAGAAGTTTCTATTCTCACAAGTGACATTAATACTTTGGTACCATTTTGGTTCACGACTAAATACTTTGGCACAGATTGAACCCATTATTTTACCCTGCGCGATTAACTTCCGTAAGTAATTTTGTGTATTTTGGAAATTTAGAAACAATCAGCATCTTGATATGTCTTATTGAACATGGGAAAAGCTAAAAATGTAGCACAAATTTTGAAGTAATTTATGAAGACTTGGTTTATCATTTAAACATTATGTATAAATAAAGCAGTAGAACATACTTTCAAAAAAAGTATTGCAGTTTGCAAATGAATGAGTGAGCATGAGAAAGTAATCAAAGAAGGAATTCGATACATTAGTGCAGATGCAGATGTTTTCATCATTTTGAAAATTCTTTTTGCACATTTTGTCGATGGAATACTAGAGAAGCTTTTGTTCCGTATATATTTAAAATAGCAAATGACACTAATCATAAAATCCAAGATTGTGAACGGAGCACTGCTTTCCAGTTTTTGTTGTTTCTGTACATAATAGGCATTCGTTGAAAAGAGCGCTCAGGAATTAGAGGTGGAGGATTAATTTTGATTTTCAAACTGAAATTACCAGAGCAGTAACAATCAAATGTACTCAACATTAAGAAAAGGAAAGCAGTCTTTCGTTCAACTTTGTAGAGAAAAATGTACATTCCTTATTAAATCTTCATTATAAATTATTTGAGATAAATAACTTCAGTGATGATGAATTTCGGATCGATTTGCTTTGAGATTGAGAGCAGTAATATAACGAGACCCACTGTTTGGAGTGTTTAGAAGATTGAGCATACTATTTAATATGAAATTTTTGAGATAGAAAATTTACAGTGCAATAAATTAATCAGTGCTTTCATATTAATCTCTTCTGAATCTTCTATTTCAGTGTATGGCTCCAATAAATGTTGTATGCGTGTGCGGAACTTTGCTTAATGACATATTTCCCTTAACATTATAATAAATATGCAATACTCTTATAATAAATAAATTACTGTACTTCAGTTTCATCCTCATACTCTTCATCTTCCAGTTCAACTTCTTCATCCTCTTCAGTCTGGTGTTCATTTTCCCTACTTCCCATGTCATCGTCATCACTAATCTCTTCATCTTCTCCTACGATCCCTACGGAATCTTCACTACTATTACTTCCGTGTTCACTACCTACGTTACTGCTGAAATGTAGTTCTTTTTGCTTATTATCAACTAGTAAGTCATCTTCCTTATTAGACTGTTTGCTGGATCCCACAGACGTCTCTCCTTCACTTGTGCTCTCTTCATACTCACTCTCCTGAAATTATTGTATTGCAAATTTATATGAAAATAACAGTATTGAATAAAATGCAACAGTAACAATATTTAGAACATACACTTAATAAGCTCAACTATTTGTTTCAAATAAAATCTTTGTTATTTGAAACTAATAGATGATTTAAGATGACATAACGTGCGACTTTATTCTTAGTATCAACGATTACAAAAGAAAAAAGCTACAAGAAAGCGAAGGATAGAAACTGATATCACACATCTCTTCAAAGTATCTGATAACAGATTAACTTTTTTCTAATTCTTCACTATTTTCCTGGGCATTTTTTGATATATTTTGCTGCGAATGAACTTGCTACTTTTCTTTACAATCAGAGATGATATCTGTTTATCTATATATCATTCGTAAATTACGCATTATCTTTTACTTGGCTACCGATCAGCTGTTCATTTCCGAGTATTTAATACTGATTTCATTTTATTATCTCTGTTCTTTCTAAAGCAGTGAATCTATTTTCACTTCCAAACGACAGTACTGATAAAATTCGCTATGCAAGTTTTAAAGAGAAACTGTTTTCATTCGGATAATTATGCTAAAATTAAGTATATATATAAGTGTATTGTGAAAGCGTAGCATTACATAAAATTGCAAGCATAAGTTTTTACTGAGACAGTCATGCCACAATTTTCATATTTTGCAGTAGTGGGATTTTAAACTAAATACAACGTTGTGAAACTTTCACAAAACTGAGAATTAATTTTTATTCGAAGACTTTTCTCTCAGCATCGTGCAAAATTCGTTCAGAGAGTAATACAATAGTAGTGCGAAGGGTGCAATAGACGTTCACATGGACAGAGATATATAATTAGACACTTACCTCAAAATGGTTCATTTTATTCGCTAAAATTTAATTATAAATATTTTAAAACAACTGTTCCTGTAGTATCTTTGTGTTAGGTTATGGTAATTCTGTCATCATTTTTTCTTATCATCTTCCAGCCCTTATTAAAAGTAAATTGTGAAAGTAAATACAATAAGCACAGGAATTTATTTCTCAAACTAACCTCATCCACGTCTTCGGTTGATTCTACGCTGTTCTCCTTCGTTTCCTATATAAAGTAATTACAACATGAGTAAACAGGTGACCACTACTTTTGGTTAGATTAGTTGATAATTTTTATAATCATTAAGAAGTAAATAATGTCATAAAAAAATCAATCTCACTGTTGAAGATGGTACAAGCTGGAGAAATTCTGGCAGCTGGTTGTCTTCAACTGCTTCTTCGAAATCAATGTAATTCTGCAAAATAAAGTATTTAAACATGAATTAATGACGGAATTCTTATAAATTGGTACAATAACTCTGTACTAGGGTGAGTCGTTCTGAAATTTATTTTCTAATATCAAATTTTCAATATTCTGAACTTGTCAGCCTGAAATGCTTACTCCTAAATATTTCTCATCAACAAAAAACTGAGGTGGCAATGGAATGCCATCGTGTCGCTCATTTACAGCGTTTTGTCGCATAAAATCCCGATGTCTCTCGTTACCTCGTATTGTTATATCAATGGCTTTGAACGGGACACCCAATCCATCAAGTACCATCAAGACTTTTTGCACTTGTTTACGAACCTTAAATTCGAAATCTAAGTATTTTAATACTGTTTGCAAGTAAAAGCTTACAATTTAATCAAACGTTTTTTTATGAAGAGAAAAAAATGACCAGAAAAAATTGAAACTTTTCTGAAAAATAAAGACTAATCCATCTTGTGTAATGTTTTAAATACTTAGAATATAAAAGGTAAAGGTAAATACAAATCCTATTGCCATGAATTTTTAATTACATTACAGAAACCCCCAAAATGTCGTCTTCGTTTGCTTCTCTTGAAATTACATCGCGACTTCATTTTTAGTAAAAGGCCTTCCAATTCTATATTACTTTTTCTAGTCAGTAGTCCCATACATTTTTTATTCTATTAAAAGTTATGCAAATGAAGGACATTATCTGCAAACAAAAGAGTTTAGAAGAGAGAAGTCGACTATGGAAGTACTCAAGTAAAATTGATAGTCCAAGAAAATGACCCATATGAACGCAACAAAATGAAAAATTTCGAGACTTGATAATAAGATGAGCAATTCCAAGAAATTTCGAATGGGTGTCTATTCCAGATCTAGCACTTTCCCTTGCAATCTTATGTTTGGGCTTGTTTGGACTTCAGCACCAATCGATGCAATGATAACAGACACTATTTGAAACTGGAAAGCACATCTTTAGGATATTATTATTAGAGGCAATATGCATCTTTGTAATATGGACATTGCATCATAAACTGCCTGGAAAATATGAACTGAGTGGAGAAGAAAAGACTGAGTAGAAAGCAGACAAATTTCTTATCACAAAATGCGAAAAATATTTGTTATCAGTGTAACAGAGATGAATATTAGTGTGCTTTTTGTTATGACCAAGCATAAGTAATTCTTAAAATTTAAACTGGAAAGAATGATCACTGTTTCCTTAACAATTCATATAAAATATGCAAATCTTCAGCTTTATTCATTTCGTTACTTAAAATCAATTTTATTACTGAGTTGGAGAAATTTCTATGTGATTCATAAAGTCGTGTCTTCATCCACCATTTGCCGTTTTTGCAAATGCAAAACCTAAAGGAAACCAAGAAAAAACATTAAATACAGCTTGATGATTCAACGAAAAACGTTAGAATCATACTTTAATGCCTCCTCTCTCCATTCGACTATACTTGCATTATTGCAGCTAGTAAAATGCAGCAACTTTTTCAAATGAAGCAGATACAAGTTTGATAACTTTTTTCCAAATGGCAAATTATTTCTAAACCTATCCAATCGTTTTAATCTAGATATCTCTTTTTAACCTATTTTCAAGAACAATCTGGTATTTCTGTGATTGATATAGTAGTGAAGGAAGTAAAGGCCAAGTATATTCAATATCATACAAAGGCATGCCATCACATGTTAAAAACAAAATGATAAGGAAGACAATAAAAGCTATGCAAAGAAAGTAGAAATCATTATCCTATAGAATGGCTTAAGCATTCAGTATTTTTTCATAGATGGCATGCCTAAGCGATCCCGTAAGGAAGTAACTGCAACAGAATTTTGGCTGCATAGCATAACATTAGAGAGAGTAATGAATCATTGCATTAATTCCCATGTTAATAAATTATTCTGCCCGCATGAAAATGCTACTAAATGCAAATATTTTCTTGTAACCCTCATGAATTTCTTTAGTCAAATATTTCATTTTCCCATAAATGTTTCTATTTACCAATAAATGCATAAGATCCCGGCAAATTTTCAAATCTAATCCCTTGAAGAAGAAAGTCTATGCTGGACAATGAACGGTACCCAAATGTAAAAAATAACAATAATTGTAAACACTCCGCATATCTGCAGAAAAAGAACAAACAAACAGACAAACAATATCACTGTGCTTGCAAGATATCAGATCCATTTTGCATTGTTATCTCACAGGGAACATGTAGATCAAGCATTTTCTTATCATACAGAAAGAATAAAAAACGACATTTACTTCAGCGTTCGTGCCACGTAACCTGGCATATTTATTACCAGAATGAAAAAATAGAGGCAACAATATCTACACTCATCTTGCTCTTGCCAGTTTAAAATTTCTGATGCACAAGTGTATCATTTTCCCAACTGTCATTTAAGAGTTCTGTGATTACTGTTATTACTATTTTTACTCAAAAGATACCAAAATAATTATTTACACCAAATGATGGCTGTAGGAAATAATAATGACAAAATGTGGTGGAGTAAACGAGTACAATTATCGATGCAATGTTAAGCACTTTTTTTTAAAGCATAAAACTAGTTTTATTACCCACAAAAAGCCATTTCATTTGCTGGCTACAATTAAAAAGCTTTTATTAGTGATGATAGTACTGGGATCACTCAATTTTAAGATCAGTCAAATATAATTTTTAACCTCTAGGCTAGAATGAATGCTAATAAAAAGTAAAGACGGAAATGCAGAAATGAGCTATTTATTGCATAAGCAATCATTATTTCAAATCAAGTCAGTGGTCACCTTTGAAAATTATAACAATGATGCTATATTTTTTTAACAATGTCAACAAGTTATATTACATGCTTCTAGAAATAATATCGCCCAAATACAGATGATATGACTTATTCAAGATAAGCGTACAGTAATAAATTCAAATTTGTATGAAAGTATTATTATGGCTGTGTATGCTATTGAGTGATCAATAATTGATAAAAAGTTAAAATGAGCACTTACCTCTGTGTTAGCAGTAATAGAAGCAATGTATACGATAAGCGTCATATCTGGGATATCCCGGGCGAGAAATTTAGAGCAGATAGTAGTGCAAGCACTTTTTTATTCACTTACTTGCTTCTTGTACACTGCAAATACTTTCACAACACAACACAACACAACAAAACAAAAACACAATGCAGCATTAAATCGAAGCACAAATACAACTTACTTTCATACTTACTTACTAACTTTCTTCTTTACGACCGCCCACTCTCTCACTTTCCACCAAAAACTATTCAAATAATATATGCACTACTACTCCCACCCTCCCTCCCTTCCAACTTCGTCTCAAATTCATCTAGAACTCCCATCTCTCCCTATTCCTTACATTCATCCCCTTCTCTACATATCTATCCAACCCTTCATTCCCTCTTTCCATTAACGTATCTGATATGCATAAGCATAACTAGATAAGACGTACACGTATGATGTAGTCAAGATTTAAACCGTATACTTGCATAAAACTTCAAAACTAATCTTTAAATGAATAATTTATTATTACTATAGATATTTAGTGATGCTAGTAAGCAAGCTTTACTAATATGTACCATGAATTCTTCAAATAGTTAGCAAGAAAAGCATATATCCTCTTCATCCGTAGTCTAAAATTAAAATGTTATAGACTAGGCTAATCTTGGCTAGTTGAAATTAAACCAGAGAAGAAAA